GATCCAAATTTTTTGCACACACTAGCATCACCATGCCAAGCATTCATGATAAATTTGATTGATTTATGACATTTTATGCATTTATAGGATTTTCCCGATGAAAAAACCCCAAAACACTAACCGAACTTGACGCAACGTGCGTTCGGGGTCCGAATTCCTTCAAATTTTGTATGGATGCCTGCCATGAGCATGCCCACATGCTAGAAAAATTTGATGTCACTCCATGCATGTCAAGAGGTACATCATGTTCAAAGGTGGTGGTTCGGGTAGGCTAATAGGGCAAGTCTTCATGCACTTTTTTCTCACATCAATAAAACAGACCCAAATTTTTTTCATACACCAGCATCACCGTGCCAAGTATTCATGATAAATTTCATTGAGTTATGACGTTTTATGCATATTTAGGGTTTTCCCGTGGAAAAACTCAAAAATACTAGCCAAACGTGACGCAACGTGCGTCTAGTGTTTGAATTCCTTCAATTATTGTATGGAGGCCTGCCATAAGCATGGCAAAATTTAGTGTTATTTAATGCATGTCAAGAAGCGCATCATGTTTAAAGGTGGTGGTTCGGGTAGTTCGGTAGGGCAAGCTTTTGTTATTTGCAATTTCTGTCATTATCAATCAACATGAACATTTTTTATAACCGAATTATTTCTTAAAATCCGACAACAATTTTGAATTTCAAATTGTGTTTGAAAATTCTCTAAACCTGAAGCCTTTTTCCAAAGTTGTTAATAAATTCCCAAACATTGATGTTGTACACAAATCGCAAACCACATACTATTTAAAAACTTGTCAACATTTATTAAATTTATGAAAAAAATTCAAAAATGGGAAACTTTTTTTGAAATTCCAGACCAATTTCATAATTTGTAAATTTTTTTCGAAAACAATAACATTTTTTGGTATTCCAAAATTATTCAAATTTTAAAACAGGTTTAAAAATGTATAATCAAGTTCAAAAATAGAAAAAATAAAATAATGAAAAAAATAGAAAATGAACAAATAGAATAGGAAAAAAAACTAAGTCCTTGCCCAACAGGGCAACGGCATTGCTTCCGTCGGTGGACTATTAGGCCGGCCCAACCATTCACCGATTTGAAAAAAAGTTCATCCATTTTGGAAAAGAATGTTTATGAAATTGAAAAAAATTACATGCTTTTATAAAGCATTTGTAAAAGTTGAAATAGTTCCTGGATACGAAAAAAGTTCATGACCTTGAAAACAAAATTAGCGAATTTAAGAAAATCTTATATTTACTAATTGGAAGCACCAACGAAGCCTCCACGTTAATTCTCAAAAAACATATAAATTTAACCTTTAGATTCTAAATCAACGCTTGAGATTAAATAAGTGATTGTGGTTAGAATCCAATTGGTATACGATCCACAATGTCCAAAAAAAAAAGAGTCCTCCACGCCCACATCTAAACGGACAGGAAAAAAAAAATAGTCAACCACACGCACATCCAACTTCCCAGGAAAAAAACACGTGACCTTGATCTAAGAAAAGACCATGCATTTATGGTTAAGATCTACTACAGGGCCATGCAAGGAAACACCATGCACGTAAGGGATGAAATCCATGCGTACAAACAAAAGAGAACCATGTCTTATTAAAAGAATCACCATGTACGTCTGGAATAAAACTTCTCACCATGTACATAAATAAAACTCGCACTTCTAAAAAAATATACTCAACACCCACGTCTAAGTTCCTAGAAAAAGCACGTGCCACCTTGAAAAAAAAATGTGCCTTCTCATTGAAAAAAGAGCACGTATATAAAACTAAAAATATTCATGCCCCCAGCTAAGAAATGCCTGTTTGAAAATTAATAATTTAATCCCATCGTACAAAAAGAAGATCGTGCAGAGTAAAATAAAACAGGCACGTAAATTTTCATGCATAACAAAATATGAATATTATCATCTTAATAAATATCAACTGAACGAATGTTATTCCTATTTGTGCAACAGGTTGAATAAATTAGCATCTTTCCAGTTGTATGATATCAAAAAATGAAACACTTCCATTTACATATAAATGTAAATTTATTTATAAAATATATAGCTATAATTTCTAGGCCGTGCAGGTGCACAGGTAGATGACTAGTGTTCACTAATTTAAATGGAAAAAAGTTTGGGTGGGGCGTTCGGGTTGGGCTGTAGGTTCCGTCTCAGAGTACCTTTTTTTATATCATTCAAATGGACCAAAAAATTTATTGGGCTGTAAGTTTTTGTCATTACGACAATTCTGCATTTTCAAATAATGTTTGTGCTTTCAAAACTTATTTCGAATTTAGAAAATAATTCTGTATTCAAATTTTTTCTACACAAATACAAAAAATGCTCACGGAAATCAAAATAATTTGTTTCAATTTTTTATTCACATTTTCTGTTTTTGTATGAAAATTTCAAACTTTGTAGTGTTTTTCAAAAAAAAAGTTGTGTTCCAAATTTTCTTTGCTCTTTTTAAAATATATTTGTGTTATGGCATTCTGAGCAATTTTGAAAGACATGAACAATTTTTTGACATATCTAAACATTTTTTTAAATGTGAATATTTGTACTTTATGAAAAAAAATCAAAAGGAACATTTTTAAAATTTGAACATAATTTAATAAGGGTGATCATTTTTTATAAAAGGAAGAAAACTAGTAGACAAACGAAATTTTTTTCTCTACCTAATAATAAAAGCAGGATTGCGTCTGGCCGTCCATTGTGAAATTCCCCTAGAGTTCGCATGAATTACCCCCTATGCCACGGGTAGGTGGAAAAAACGATTCTTTTTTCTCTTTATAAGTTGGTCGTTGCTTTTGATTCAACACACAGCGATCCCCCATGTATGATAAGTGCCTGGCCACCCTAACTGGTTAGAAGTTTGCTCTTCCATCCTGGAGACCCAGTACAATCCCACACTGGTTTGTTTTATCTCCCCCTTTTCTCTCTTAGGACCGGTGGGCATAGGATATTGGGCACACTGTCACGCCAGCTGCCCGATGGGGCCGGCACAACGCGGCCTTCAACACTTATTTTTTCAGTTATTTTTACATTATTTTTTTCTTTATTTTAATATACTCTGAATATTTCAATTATAAAAATCACTTATATGCAAACTTTGAAAAAATGTTAATCATGCATTAAAAAATGTTAAGCTTGTATAGAAAAACAGTTTCCATCATATACGAAAAATGTAGAGTGCGTATGGAAAATAATAATATAATTTTCATCTTTTTCTGAATTTTTTTGGTCATGCATTAAAAAATGTTAAATGTGCACGAAAAATGTTTTTAATGTATAAGAAAATTGTATACAAAAATATACTATGTGTATGGAACAAAGTAGACATAAAAAATATAAGTTTTCAAATCATGTGTTTGGACAATGTCAAACGTGTATATAAAAATGTTCCTGATGTTACAAAACATGTAGAATGTGTACAAAAATGTAGACATCAAAACTAAATATGTTTTAAAAAATGTTGACCAAGAAATTGAAAAATATTAAACGTGTATATATTACATTGTTACTTTTTTTGTGGGATGTATTACAATGTTGTTGATACAAGCTTTACGTAAACCAATGCCTTAACTTTGATTTTCATATTGTTTTAAATTGTATTCGTAATGGTTTATTTAAGAATATCGATGTTGATATGCAACCTTAAACATTTGGTATGCATGTCCTTACTAATTGATTGTTTTCGATGAAGCTTTCTAATATGTTTGCAACCAAATTAAGACTTTACTTGGATTACAAATACAAACAAATATATCAGTAAGACACAAAAAATGCTCTTATACATATGCAATCATTAATTAATAGAATGTACTTTGCTATTTTCATCGTAATGCAAATATTTATTGCACATCACTGAGGAGGAACGACAACAAATGCGTAAAGGATACCTACAAATAGGTAGATTTTTTTTGAGCATCAGTACAGACACAAGCGCTCATACACGCGCATACACTCACCCTTATGAACGTACACACGCACACCCTACCCTTATGAGCACCTCCGAAAGACTGAGCCGGCATATCATCTTGAGATTTACGAAGTTACCGTAGGCACCTCGTGGTCGACGGGAACGTCTCCTCCCACTGAAAGCGCATCGCCGAAAATCCTGAAATAAATCCAGAAATAATGCGAGCACCAGGATTTGAAACCTGATGGGTTGGGGATATCACTGTCCACCTAACCATCTCAACCACAAGTTGGAAACCCCTTGAGTACACTTCAAAAATTATCGCATCTCTATGTTTTTTGCGCAACATCACATATCATGTTGTTTTCATCTGACGTCATGCAAGATTTCTAGAGACTTACCGATGTCTCGAGAGTGTGTATGAGAGATAAAATTTTCTTCCGTTGCAACGCCCGGGCATGTTTGCCAGTAGTGATAAAAGAACCGATTCAACAATGATCCGGCCCAGCCGCGAAATGAAGTAGAAAAAAAAAATAGGAGAAGTAAAGACACACAAGCATTAGGATGCCCTAGTTTGTTAGTGTGGTCCTCCTTAGACCAAGAGATCTTGAGTTCGATTCATGCACAGGCCGCATATCGGCGCGGGTGAAAATATCATCCTACCTTTTATTATGAAAGGGTATAGAAATCTCAGCCGTCAATGTGTTTAGAGGGGTACACCGAAGCAAAAAGTGTTATTGCTAATACGAGAGTAGCATTATATTATATATTCTCACAACAGAAAACAGCGATAGTAAACTTAGACTGACACCGACACGTACACACGCGTGGATATTAGTAGTACAAGATAAACCCGCACTACCATCGACAGAGGTAGTAGTTTTATTCAGCAACGAAGTAACTACTCGACAAGCTACCTACTCATCGAGATTGACACAAAAGACACTCGCACTTCAAACGTATACATACGTACTACGTACCCAGGTCCAGGAAGCAGCTAGAGACCTTTTCCACGCACACCGTACGTGACTGGCTTCGAGCAACCTGGAATCCATGGCCGGCGGGTATGGCCTCAGGCGTCGGACCATGTGACGGGCACCTCGCCCATGTTGCTGTCGAGCCCGAGCGCCTTCCACACGGCCTCGGAGGTGTCCACGATGTTGGTCTTGCAGCCGTGGTTGGAGTCGCACTCGTCCACCACCTTGGCCTGCACGGTGCGCCCGTTGTGCTTGCTGGTGATGCGAATCATCTTGCCGCACCGGCGTCCGCCCTCGTACCAGCGCGTCGACAGCGCCACGATCATGTCACCGTTGCTGTGGTACTTGCCGTCGCACTCCGACGGCCCGCCGCCGTCCTGACCCTTCTGGAAGCCGTTCACCGTCATCACGCCTGGGGTGCCGCCGCCTCCGCGGCCGCCGCCACCACCGCTGCCGCCCGGCGAGGGGCAGTGGGGCTTCTTGTGCTTGTGCTTGTGCAGCATGCCCGGCACGGAGTCGTCCTCGCTGGCGCACGGGTCCGGCTTGGCGTGGTGCCGGGCCATGGCGCACGTAGACACGTGCAGCAGGATTACAAGGATGGCCACCCCCACGACTACAAGCTTGGCGTTTGCCATTGCTAGACCTCCTGCCTGCTTATCTATTTTGCTAGCCTAGCTTTGCACTTAACTTGCCGTGCGTACTTGGTTCTGATCACGCTGCTTCGAAGAGTATATATAGGCGCACGTACGAGAACCAGCTGCAGGCCAAGCACGGGATGCACCGTACTTTGTCACACGTGGTTCCCAACCTTCCGGGCAAGAGCCTCCTTTCTTTAGATGAGTACAAGGAATTTTACAGAGTATGATACTCTCTCGGTGTGCTCGATACAGACCCGAAATGGCTGCGTTAAAAGACAACTGAATTGTAGAGATGAGTTCGTTTGGATTACGTGGTGTCGCTAATGTTACAGCGGGAATAACCGAGGACAGAACACAGCAGGTCGCTCTTGGCAGAGATCGTACCAAATTATACTTCTCCAGGCAAAGGAAATTCCAAGATCCAAGCGAATTAATCGTGAAGTACTACGATATGACCGGATAAGAGTAAGTGTATCGTATCTGGTTGGTGAGTCCAATGCGTAACTGTTGTTTAGTAACGGTTAACGGGAATGATAATTGACTGACGTTCCCTAGAAAAGTTTTTCTAGCAAACTTTGTTTTAGGACTCCTTTGATTCAAAGGAATTTTATATGATCTTTGAAGGATTGAAATCCTTAAGATTTTTTTCTATATTGGTCATTTGAATCATAGAATTGGATCCCACAGGAATTTTTTCTATGGAATCTTTTGTACTATATTTATAGGAAATCTAACATCCACCCCAACTATACCTGGCCATACCTCGGGCCGGGCCGGGCTTCGGGCGGGGCCTAGCCAAGCCCGATGCAAAAAACCCAGGCCCGGGCCCGGCCCGGCCCGGCCATCGGGCCTGTTTTCTAGGCCCGAGCCCGGCCCGAACACGTAAAAGCCCGTCGGGCTCTGGCCCGGCCCGACCTTCAGAAAAACGCAAAAATGACAGGCCCGGGCCCGACCCGGCCCGGCCTTCGGGCTCAAAATCTAGGCCCGAGCCCGGCTCGGGGCAGCGTCGGGCTGGGCCGGCCGGGCCGGGCTTCCCATGGCCAGGTATAACCCCAACCTCTTTTTATAGTTTCTTTGTTTTTCATGTGGCATCAAACACTATTGCTAATCTTATAGGATTCAAGTGGGCATGCCACTCTAACCCTATACTTTTCCTATTCCTACATTTTCAGAATCCTATGAATTAAACAGGCCCTTAACGTGTGTTGATCTTGCTGCACGGATCTCGGCGAAAGTCTAGTGCCAAGTCATCTTCTGCAAATCGTTTGTGCAACGTCGAAACCCAGCGAACGAGCTCACTCAATCAACACACTCGCTATTCCCCTGATCCTCTCTCTGATCTCACTCGCTCTCATCATCCCTGTTCAGAGAGAGAGAGAGAGAGAGAGAGAGAGAGAGAGAGAGAGAGAGAGAGAGAGAGAGAGAGGTGACGACCACAACGACGAGGATGAGGTGGAGGCGGAGCAGCAAGGAGAACTGGGTTATGTGGGAGATGGTTGTGATGGCGTCCCAGTCTACGATGATGAGCATAGTGCCTCCATAGAGCTTCCTCCTAAAAGGGTGGATATGGTTGATTGGAAGGGGAGTGAATAGGCAACTACCATTTTTAACGCTTTTGATCAAATTAGGATTGACAAGAAAATAGGTTGACTAGACATGCAACTAGGTGGAAAACCTATATGACAAGCACAATAACAAGCTCACAAGCAGGCATAAGATATAAACACAATATAGCTTGCACAGAGTGAAGGTTAAAAAATTTCTCAAGTGGAGTCGGTGAAGACGAGGATGTGTTACCGAAATTCTCTCCCTTTAGGATGAGGTACGTCTTCATTGGAGTGATGTGGAGATATAATGCTCCCCAAGAAGCAACTAGGATCACCGTATTCTTCTCACGCCCTCGCATAATGCAAGATGTCGTGATTCCGCTAGTGTTGCCCTTTAAGGCGGCGACCGAACCTTTATAAACAAGGTTGTGGCTCTCTTCGCAACTTAATTGGAGGCTCCCAACACCACCATGAAGCTTCACTACAATGAATCGTGGCTCTGAGGTGATCTCTTTCGTCTAGGGTGCCCAAACACTCAAGAGTAACAAGACATCACAGAGGGCTTCTACATCAACCTTGATGCCCTACCGATGATGTATGAGTAGTTCACCACACAACTACGGGTCCATAGCTAGTAGCTAGATGACTTCTTCTCTCTCTTTGATCTTCAATATAATGTTCTCCTCGATCTTCTTGGAGTTCTATCCGATGTAATCTTCTTTTGCGGTGTGTTTGTTGGGATCTGATGAATTATGAATTGATGATCAGATTATTCATTGAAAAGTAATTGAGTCATTTCTAAACTTTATTATGCATGATTATGATAGCTTTGTATTTATCTCAGATCTATCCGTTTGGTTTGGCCAACTAGATTTATTTATCTTCGACGGGAGAGGTGCTTTGTAGTGGGTTCAATCTTGTGGTGTCCTCATCTCGTGGCAGAAAGAGTAGCGAGGCACGTATTGTATTGTTGTCATAGATGCATGATGGATAGCTGTCGATTGGTGGAGTAATAGTAGTAGATGCAGGAAGTAGCTGTTGGGGAACGTAGTAATTTCAAAAAATTTCCTACGCACACGCAAGATCATGGTGATGACATAGTAATGAGAGGGGAGAGTGTTGTCCACGTACCCTCGTAGACCGTAAGCGGAAGCGTTATGACAACGCGGTTGATGTAGTCGTACGTCTTCACGATCCGACCGATCCAAGCACCGAACGTACGGCACCTCCGAGTCCAGCACACGTTCAGCTCGATGACGATCCCCGGGCTCCGATCCAGCAAAGCTTCGGGGATGAGTTCGCGACGATACGACCGATACGACCGAGGTGGAATATGATGGAGGGGGGCACCACACACGGCTAAGGAACGATCCATAGATCAACTTGTGTGTCATGGGGTGCCCCCTTGCCCCCGTATATAAAGGAGCAAGGGGAGGAGGGCCGGCCAAGGAGGAGAAGGCGCGCCCAAGGGGGGCAATCCTACTCCAAGTAGGATTCCCCCCTCTTTCCAAGTCCTACTAGGAGAAGGGAAGGAAGGGGAAGAGAAGGAGAAGGAAGGAGAGGGAGGAGAAGAAGGAAAGGGGGGCCGGCCCCCTAGTCCAATTCGGTTTGGGCTAGGGGGGCCGCGCGTCCTACCTCCTCTCTTCCACCACTTGGCCCATGAGGCCCATTGCTTCTTCCTCGTATTCCCGTAACTCCCCGGTACCCCCAAAAATACCCGAATTACTCGGAACCTTTCCGAAGTTCGAATATAGTCGTACAATATATCGATCTTTACGTCTCGACCATTTTGAGACTCCTTGTCATGTCCCCGATCTCATCCGGGAGTCCGAACTCCTTCGGTACATCAAAACTCATAAACTCATAATATAACTGTCATCGAAACCTTAAGCGTGCGGACCCTACGGGTTCGAGAACTATGTAGACATGACCTAGAACTATTCTCGGTCAATAACCAATAGCAGAATCTGGATGCTCATATTGGCTCCTACATATTCTACGAAGATCTTTATCGGTCAAACCGCATAACAACATACGTTGTTCCCTTTGTCATCGGTATGTTACTTGCCTGAGATTCGATCGTCGGTATCCAATACCTAGTTCAATCTCGTTACCGGCAAGTCTCTTTACTCGTTACATAATGCATCATCCCACAACTAACTCATTATTCACATTGCTTGCAAGACTTATAGTGATGTGCATTACCGAGAGGGCCCAGAGATACCTCTCCGACAATCAGAGTGACAAAACCTAATCTCGAAATACGCCAACCCAACATGTACCTTTGGAGACACCTGTAGTACTTCTTTATAATCACCCAGTTATGTTGTGACGTTTGGTAGCACCCAAAGTGTTCCTCCGGTAAACGGGAGTTGCATAATCTCATAGTTACAGGAACATGTATAAGTCATGAAGAAAGGAATAGCAATATACTAAATGATCAAGTGCTAGGCTAACGGAATTGGTCATGTCAATCACATCATTCTCCCTAATGATGTGATCCCATTAATCAAATGACAACTCATGTCTGTGGCTAGGAAACTTAACCATCTTTGATTCACGAGCTAGTCAAGTAGAGGCATACTAGTGACACCATGTTTTGTCTATGTATTCACACATGTATTACGTTTCCGGTTAATACAATTCTAGCATAAATAATAAACTTTTATCATGAAATAAGGAAATAAATAATAACTTTATTATTGCCTCTAGGGTATATTTCCTTCAGTCTCCCACTTGCACTAGAGTCAATAATCTAGTTCACATCACCATGTGATTTAACACCAATATACACATCTGTATGTGATTAATACCAATAGTTCACATCGTCATGTGATCAACACCCAAAGGGTTTTACTAGAGTCAATAATCTAGTTCACATTGCTATGTGATTAACCCCCAAAGAGTACTAAGGTATGATCATGTATTTGCTTGTGAGAGAAGTTTAGTCAACGGGTCTGTCACATTCAGAGCCGTATGTATTTTGCAAATATTCTATGTCTACAATGCTCTGTACGGAACTACTCTAGCTAATTGCTCCCACTTTCAATATGTATCCAGATTGAGACTTAGAGTCATCTGGATCGGTGTAAAAGCTTGCACCGATGTAACTCTTTACGACGGGCTCTTTTATCACCTCCATAATCGAGAAATATTTCCGTAGTCCTTACTAAGGACATTCTTGATCAATGTCCAGTGATCTACTCCTAGATCACTATTGTACTCCCTTGCCAAATTTAGAGCAAGGTATACAATAGGTCTGGTACATATCATAGCATACTTTATAGAATCTATGACTGAGGCATAGGGAATGAATTTCATTCTCTTTTCTATTTTCTGCCGTGGTCGGGCTTTGAGTCTTACTCAACTTCACACCTTGTAACACAGGCAAGAACTCTTTCTTTGACTGTTCCATTTTGAACTACTTCAAAATCTTTGTCAAGGTATGTA